AAGCGTAGATAGATGCCGATAGACACGCGGCTATCGCGACGTGAATTTTAAGTATCAACGCTAAGTACCCTGACGTGCTTTCGACAGTCGGTACACATCTCCCTCGCCGATCTTTTACATGCTAAAATTCTGGGAACATGACGAATTTTTAATCAAATCCTCCTCGAAATTCGTAGGGAACTGATCCGTGTTTCAAACGCAAACCCGAGTATTCGTTTTCACGTGGAATAAATTTCTAAATTTACTTCCTTGTCCGTTTTCTTCACAGCAGCCGATCCAAACGACTGTTCTTCAAATTTAATCGTAATTATTTTTTAATCATAGCGGTGAAACAAACGTTCCACGCGAAAACCTTGCAGAAAAAATAGATGCACCCACACGATTTCGCAGAGCAAATAACCATGCTGTTTACAAGCGAACCTGGCCTCTCCTACCTAAGAACTTATTCGAATCTCTGATCACGATTCGCGTCGATAAAGAGGACCATTTTCCAAACTACCGTTTATCCCATATGAAAAATCCAATTTTAGCTATAGACTGGGATATTACGCAACGAGATTCGCGAAGATGTCGCGTGTCAAAGAGACGAGAGGAGAGCAAGCGTCCAGACTGTCTAGCTGCTGGGTAGATCAAAACAACGTTATAAAATCCCAAGGAACAAGCAGACACGAGCTGAGTGTCTGTGTAAAAAAGTGAGCAAGGTCGACGAGTCAATCAAATCGTGATCGAATATGTACTTCGATTCGAAGATGGAAGGTGTTTCTATTCGCCGTAAATGCAAAAGGCAGCGATGAAATATTGAAGGAAATGCGTTGCTTCTTCGTCTCTGAATCAAGTTGCAAAGAAAAAAGGGAAAAAAAGTGAGACTCTTGCGAATAGTCGACGAGCAAACTTATGGCTAACTCGCGAATACACCGTTTAAACATTGCATAAGAAAACGAGCGATTAGTGGCGGCTGTTAGTGCCTCGGCTAATGCAACCTTCGAAATTTGCATATTTCTCGAATGAGTGTCTTCGGTAACAAAAGTTCAAACACAACAGCTTCTTGTTTACTCGCTAATTATAATAATGCGTGGCTAATTTTAACGATTAATTGCAGCGTTCGTCGCCCTTGCGGACGAACCTTGAATATTTCCTACGAGCACTAATTCGAACGACAAACGCTGCTATTGTTACATAACAAAGGCAGCCACCCGAAATTCGTTGAATTTTTAATCGAATATGGATTTATTCATCGATTTATCGACAGAATTATCGCCTCTAACGTGTATTTAAATACGGTATAGATAATTGCGTTTTTACTCAAATAAAAGTCAAGGTTAATTTTGGAATAAACGGCTGTATACTTTTAATAATTGCGAGAAACCAGATACGTGAAGCTTGTAATTCTACTGGCGCGAGTTAGGAAACAAGAGTACACAACATTTCGCGACTTTTCGTACATTTTTTTATCTTCCGAGATACGCAGATTGAAATTAGAAACCGGTTTTACGCGAGATATTCGAATAAACTTATTGTTTGATGACGAGTAACACATTATCTTTGTATTTTATTTTTAATTCTAACATATGTAGAAATTTATTCGAAATACCCAAAATTGAGCAGCGATAGACTGCTTTGGCGGAAAAATTTGGAAAATTCAAAAGACAGGATTTTAATCACTTAGCGAGTTACTTTGTTCCCTAAATGCTTTCAGTATTGATAACTGAGATAAATAATTAAAACGAAATTTTTGTCCGAATAAAAGAGAACAATTATCGATAATTCCAGAAATCACAAATTAATATGCTAATTAATATAGTAGTTTCTATACTAAACCATAAAAAAATTCCCATTTTTCATACACGAGATTTTTAATTTTTCGCTTCGAATATGTGTCTTTACCACGATCTTCGAGATTTCATTTCAAGATATCGATTGTCATAACCCCGAGTATCTCGCTGCTGGTATCTTACGAAACTTCGCAGATTTATCACCTGTTGTCACAAGACTTATATCTCTTGGACCTAAGAGTCTGTTCCCTTTCCAGCTATATTCCATTCGAGATACCGTGTCACATCGAGATCAGAATATCGAAAATATCTCTGAGATTTTCCCGTTCTTTGTCGCTTTATTTCCTCTCGGTAGCTTCATCCTTCGAGTGCATCGTTCAACCTATGCCGGTCGTAGTTCCTTCGCGCAAATTTATGCTGTTCCACGACTCGTCGGACGGGTCTGTTTCACGAAAAACGTAGATCGCGACTCTACCCTTTGCTCTTTCCATTCAACCTGCCGAAAGTCTCTTAAGAAATATGCAAACGAAATCCAAGAGTATGGATACGGAGACGTCGTTAACATGGGCGGATCCTTATGAAACTCGTCGCGGCGAATTAATTCGTCACGCAAACGACGAGATTTCGCGGCCACGTGGTGAATAACAAAAATACTGCACGTGTGTTTATGTAACGTCCATTGTGGTTATATGGAATAAGAGAAGAATACAGGTAGCCATTCTTATACTCTCATTTTCATGGAAACCGTCACAGTGCAGCTAAGGTTTAAGAGAAGAAGATTGAATCGAATGAAAAATTACGAATACTGTATATAAACTAGCATAAGACTATAAAAAGGTGATGAATAAAAAGAAACATACTTCAAAAAATTTGTACAATTTTCAGTATCTCGAATGCGGTTATAATAATGTAAATATAACAAATTGCATAAAGCGCCTTTAATTTGATTTTTGAATCAAATTTAAATGTGAATATTATGATACATATTATAACAAGATTAGCTCCATTTGTTATAAATCTCTCGTAAAAGTTTCGTAATTATTAATAAAAGATTGTTAAGTAACTACTTTAAAAAGAAAAATAAATGACCTATTTTCATGAAAGTGGCACAAACGTGGTTCATACGATGCGATTGGAATCTTGCCTGACCACGATACCAGAAATGGTACTTCATTGTTGGAAGTCAAACAGTATAAAAGCCGTAAATAGTTGTTTTATTGACGGACAGATTTGCGATAAATACTATTCGAGGTCAGGAACGTGAGCCGTGTCCTTGCGCAAAATATTTCCAACGTTCCATCAGTTATGCAGCTAAGCTTCGTCAGGAATTCGAGAAAACGAACTTTCCGTTATCTACTTCGCATTGCTGCAGCGTAAGCGAAACGTCGAAAGTATTTTCCAGTGGCCAGCAATTTATCACCAACATTAATACTCGGAACACGAGCCGTGTATCGTTAAAGCGTCTTGCAATTCGCGATAGGCAAAAAAGATACAGTAATAAAAACTAGAAATTTCGAGATGGCGTTTATCACGTTTTTTGCAAAGTATTCGAGGTATTCGAGATAGGAGTACGTGTTTTCCTCTGGCCAATTTAAGTCGTAATTTCTCGCGTCCATTGCACGATATTCAGCCACGGCAATAACATTCTATGCTGCCCGAGCGGACTTCGAATTTTTCATATCACGTGTGACGTCGGCGTGCACACCGACGTTTCGTGTATGATCAATGCTTATGATAATCGTGCTCTGCAATATTTGCAGCGAAACAAATAAAAAAAACGCACGGGTCACAGGTTGCGAGGGAAAATCGTGCGATTCGAATCGAGGTTCCGCGCCATGTTTGTACGAACTGCTCAGTGAAAGCCGAAGAAAATTACGACTACTTGGATTTTATTCTCCAGGCAAGGTACCACGAACGGGGGAAGTTCGTTTTTGCAGATTTTTGGCTGAATTTCGAGCAGGATAACACGCTTTTGGTTCAGTAGAAGATTCTTTGAATCCAGTGACCACCTTTATCTAAATTCGAGTGAGACTCAAGGATAATTAAAAATTTTTAATATTCAGAAATTTGGCAAATCTATGGATTTGTGGATTTGAGAATTTGAAAATTAAAAAAATTGGAAATTTGGGAATTTGAAAATTTGAAAATTTGAGAGTTTAAAAATTTGGGAATATGGGACCTGGAAAATTTGAGAATTTACGAAATTGGAAATTCGAAAATTTAAATGGAAATACTTCAATAATCAAAGAGGATTCGAAAATTGAACAATTTCGACAAAAATTCTCTTAGAATTAAGAATCTTAATACTATTTTCGCATTTGATGTGAACGAAGTTCGTTACTAATGGACCACCCTGTATAACGTTAATCCATTACAGTCAACTCTCCGAGGACTGTTAATACACGTTGATAATAAACATAATGTCGTCTGCTATCTATGCTCGACTTGTCGGTAGAATATAGATTGCAAGGCTGAAGCAATATCGTGACCTTTGCAATCTCTGTGTGCCACAGAGCTACATATGTAACTTGCACCGTTTTCTCTTGCATTAATTTTGAAACTGACCGTGTTGGCAGAAACGTGATTGAAAGAAGCAGGAAAGGGGAAAAAACAAAATGAGAACACCGATTCCGTTCCGTGCGAGGAACATCACGGTAAACAAGCGATTGAAATTAACGTCGAGTTACCATAACCTGGTTACACGAACGCGTTCTTTCGCGATTCCGTAACGAGTTCGCACGGACAAATCACGTGCAATAAATTAGCAATCGTGTACAGGAATAAATTTAACCCGCGACTGACGTTCCATATTAATTTCCGTATCAAAATAAAAATATACCGTTGTTCTTCGCGAACACTGTAATTCGTCGAGTGGAAACATTGCACTAATTTAAATTCCATTCTATATTCCTAATCGGATCTTGAAATACGAACAAAAGTTATATATTACTCGTTTGCTCGGCAATTTAAATATTCAATAACCGAGTAATTTAAAATCCATATGCAACACAGGCGCGCATAGAAATGTAAATTCCGTCTTGTTTTTTATTACGGTCAAATAAACTACGCTCAGCCAATTACGTAACGAAAATATTTCACCCTAGCCGATCCGAGGGATAGCCTGAAAACGATGAAGGCTGAACCTTAACATTACACAGATTACACGCATATCCGTTCACCTTGGCGCATCCTCCGACCTTATGTCATTAATAGAACAACGAGTCTGACCTTGGAACCGGCAAATCCATGGTGGTGGATCGATGGTGATGATGGTGATGTGCTCTCTCGGCCGTGCCGATGATCCCCGGATGAAGCGTTTGCGAATGCTGAGGTTGCAGGTATACCTGTTCCTGTTCCCTCCACATTGTTCCTACTTTTCCAATGATTCGCGTATCTATCGATCTTCTCAGTGATTCGTCTCAACGGTGTACAAACCGGTTCGAGTAACTGCACGAACGTCTGAATTTCCTTGCACAGTCGCAGCGGGTACACGAATTCGATAAATCATCGCTGCTCGTCATAATGAACGCAAATATCGATCGTTCAAATTAACTGGAGAATTGTCTTGAAAAAATTTCGCACTGCCCGATTTGTCACTCGATAAATCACCTACTCGGTACACGAGGTTGTCGGTACACTTGTTAATTGCGATACGTTGACACTTTGAACGAACGCGTTATTCAGGACGAAGAAGAAACGTTCGGAACACTAGGCTCGTCTTCGGCGTCGTTCGCCATATTGGAGAACGGAGAACACGCGAACAGCGACGTTCGACGTTGCGACCGTGGCGTTTCGACGTTATCGCGAGAGAGCTTCGCGGCTTGTTTGTTGCGCGAATTAAAATTAGCCAGGTCGCCGGTTAATCTTGCTCGCACGATCGCTCCGCGCTTGTTTCTTGGCGTATAGATAAAAACCTCTCTATCTCAGTCGAACAGCGAGCAAACATTCGGTAAGATCGAAGCCCGGAGACGATGGAGAGACAGACCGATACAGAGAGACGAAAACGAGAGAGAAAGAGAGAGAGAATGTTTCGTCGACAGCGACGCCTTCTTTCCGCCGAGTCTATAATTCGTTCCTTGTCCCGCCAAATTTTTACGTCAGTCTCCCGTTTCGTGTGCGGGCGTGTATATAGAAGCTGCGCGATCACGATGAGACGTCAGAGTTTGCATCGACGGAAAAAAACTGCAGAAACACGCTGTCCTTCGAAGACGCACGATAGGTCACGCGAGAATCACATTCCTTTGCCTCGAACGCACACTAGCTACCGCGACGTAACGGTCGCAGAAACGTCCTTTCCCGCTTGATTTAACACGCTCCCGCGCTTGACAATTCCGTAAAACACTGATCTTCGTGTGTCGAGACGTCACGTACCGGAACGGCCGTCTCACGGTTTCTGCTTACGGACGTCCGACATGCACGCGAATTGTTGGTCGAATTCCCCTGACCTTGACACCGTGTTCTAGATCCCGACACAGCAGGAAATCCGTGCACGAAGACACACGCGGATCGCGAGGGGGCATCGATCGACGAGCCGAGCAGTTTACCATCAATAAGATCCAAACGCGTTTCAGATGCATACACCGATCCTCCTCCCCGTTCCGGCGTTCCGTTACATCGCGTGGAACGTGATAAAGCGAGACTCAAGGCACAATGTTACTTCGAGGAATCTCTGGCCTTGACACACTGTCCCAAATGTCTCTTAGAACGGAGAAAATACACGTCGACTATGCATTCCGAAGATAGAAGCCACAGTTTCTGCAGCGTTTCCAACGATGTCAGTTCGGCCAATGCACACGCGAGCTCGTACGATTACGCGTCAATTTCGATGAGTTCCGAACAGCACCGTCTATCGATACATCGAATAACGCGATTCGATTTTACACGAAACAAATGGCACGATGCGCGCGACACAGTTCACTTTACGATAATGATGTTTTCGAACGCGCGGACACATAATAAAGTCATGTCAAAGTGTCAAGGATACTGCACAATCACGTATATACGTTGCATATGCTCGTGCAAATACGTTCGACGATCGAAATGAACTTTTGCCAAAAACAGCCTAACGAGCATCAAGACGCAACACGTACGGTAGTCAGATGCGAACTGCCAGTGGAGCGCTACCCCCACTCTGCCTAACAATCAGCGTTTCCCCTCCTGCCCAGACGACCAATCGTCGTCCCCCTCGTCTTCTTCCAATGCTATCCGTGCTCGAAGCGCGCAGCATGATAACAACACATTTTTAGGCGGATCCCTCGTGTAAAGCTGCTACCACTCGCGCGATAAGAAACAAATTTTCATGCGTGTGTTCATGCTGGATTTACGCGCGAGAATTCGAGTATGCTCTCGCGCTAACCAAACGATATCGAGCATTTTCTCTTTACCTGTACCTTCGTACTCTTTGCAAACTTAATTTATATAATTTTCTTATCAAATCTAAACCAATGCTAACTTATTCTTTAAATTAATTATTTATATACAACCTACATATAGTATATACCACTGAAGTCATTTATGACGTGCATCGAATAAATTCGCTGCAATCGCACTAGTCCTCTTTGTTCGAAATAAATAAACGAACGTAACGTGTTTGTTAATTCGAGCCTCTACCTTGGACGTGATTTAAAATAGAAAAACTGGACACTTACCCGTACGAGATTGTCGTTTCCGGCACAGAAGTGGAAGACAACGCGCCAGCATCATCCTCGTCCACGTCATCCTTCATTTTTTACACTTTTCCTGAAACGTAATAAATTAAATGACGTTATTACCTCTGTATCATTAAAATGCACCTTTCTCTAAGCTTTTTTACCACCGATCATCTATTAGATTCCAGATGGGGAAAAAAATCTTCGGTACCGACAAATCAGAAAGAACAACGCACGTGACACGGAAAACCACGATGACAGCCGATTGATTGATAACCCAAATAAACGACGTACACCGCCAAAGGCAGCATACATCGAGTATAACGCGTGTCACGAACGTTGCAACCGGCTTGACAGGATAATCGAACAAAAGATCTTGTTACAAATCGTTTTCAACAAAGTTGATCGAATCTGTGACATGAAAAATGAAAATGCAGTGGAACGCTGTTCTTGACCACGGATTATGGATGGTACGTGTTGTTCAAGGAATTCAAGTTTTTTCCATAAAATTGTTGCGAGCTAGGATCACTCGTGACACTATTTCAAAAAAATCTCTAGCATTTTCCTTTTTCTCCCGATGACATTGAATTTATTCCATCGCGCGTTTGATGTATATACGAAGACTTTCGTGAAAGGAAATTCTACACGTCAGTCGAGTTGAAAATTATTCGTCAAACCTTTACACGAGAAAAGGTTGGGTACACCGGTGATACGATTTTCATGCATATGTCCTTGTATTGGTCCAATGAATATCTGATGTAAAGATATACATTTTTCTGTAGGAGAACACGGTGCACGATAAAATGCGAATAATCAAACTTTGACTACCTATCAAATCCGTCAAAATAAATCCCAAATTCTTTGTTTTCGAAATTATTTCAAGTACACAGTCGTCGAATTTTATCGAGATACAAACGTTACCATTTATATACCCTTATTGATGCAGATCCACATATTTAGAAATTAACCCAGCCAACAAAAGTCTCACAATCAGCCAGCAACGTGCATAGTGTTGCATCAAGAATGACATCGAACCTTATTCATTCGAGTATATCTATCTGATCCAAGTGGTACCAACCCGAGTTCCTCGATTCGAAAGACACGATTTAACATATGGATTAAGCTAATCGGAAAGATACAATCGAAAACGTATCGTACTTCCGCCCACCAGGTCTTCTCAATCGAGACGAGGCTAACCCTCGGCACGGCAACCTCCTCAGAGACGTACCAGTGAAACTATTAATAATATAAACCGATTCGATACAACGGGTGCTTCAGTTACGTGTAATTTCCCGGTGAAACGACGACGTTAAATCGAAACCGACAATGTTCATCGATGCAATACGTAATCGGAGTAATTCGAGCCCCGGTCACGAATAAACTCGCACTGCGTGGGCCGATTGCGTATTCTCTTGGATAACAACGCCGATTCGAAACAATCAGCTGATGTTGCTCAGGATCAACAGCGCCTTTGTTCATAGTCACCCAACTCTGTGTACTCTGTGTATACGAGCTGTGGAGTAGCCTGGATTAGCTTCTACTCTATCACCGCGATCGGGTATAATGCTGCGTTGGATTTCAGTTCTGTTCATAGATGAACAGTCCCTTGCATGACAGCCTCTGAATCAAATGTCAGGCTGGAAGAAACGAAAGAAAAGGGTGAAGGCGTTGTAAGAACATTTTCCTCGGCGCGACTTCGTAACGACAATATTTTCGTGCAATCGAGCAGAGTGAAGCCATCTCTTTATCGTCCTTATCGATAAGGCTGTTCTTTACGGGATATTGACTTTCGTTACAATATCCGGAACAGTCGGAATCGGTTCGCCCCGACGCGGCCACGGTACAGTGGTTTTCTTTATACTTGGTCGCGCTTGCTGCACTTTCAGACTCTTATTTATCGCAAATGTTTCGGTATGTGATCCAACGGTTCTCTGATAAAGTTCTTTATCGGGTAAAACGATTCGGTCCAACGGTTATTATGCGTTCAAAGAAATTACGATGAAACGCAATCGTCGACGTTACATTGCGTAATGCAACGAAATATATGTTCTCTTCGTCGATTTCCAATTCGGTTCGATTGCGAATCTCGGGCAGGCAAAATTGACAGCGCTGGTTAAGCGGCTGCAGCGAATTTCGAACTCGAACGCGTGGCATTTGCATTCGAGATAGATAAAAGGAAAAAAGGAAGAAACACGTGTATTCCGTGACACACGCAGAAAGATAGGACGAAACGGAGTCGTGTCAGTTTGCAAGCACATACCCGATAAAAAATCCTGATACCAAAGGCTATTGAATACAGATATCGATTGAGAGTTGGAATCTTATTGAATGGGACAGCAAGGGCTCTTGATGCTTTCAGCGTAGCTCGACAGCACGGAGATACACGCGTTTATAGATGGATGTCTGTATCTAGAAGCTGGCGTCAGGTAGGTCTGTGTTGATACATCGGGTCGTCGACATCGTTCTACTATCGCTAGGTTCCGCTGTGTGCGCGCTATACAACAGTACTGATAAGCTGACGAGAGGTAACCTACGTGCGATGCACTCGTTTCAAAGCAGCTTCGAGCTCATGGATGAACAACTGCGGGACGAGTGGGTCTATTTCGATCGAATCGCGGGCATTTTTGGGTGTTGGGGTACCCTCGAGTGTCCGAATGTACTTGTCGACCCTCTATAATCAGAATTGTCTATAACCATTGAAAGAAAGATTACGACTAATTATAGACTACGCATTTTTACCCTTCGCTGAAATATTAGAAATAATACTTAATAAGAATAGGTTGCTTTGTACCGGTACAGTTGGCAAATGATAAAACGCTGTACTGATAAATATGTAAAATAAAAGTACAACATGGAGGTACATAGTACATAATTTACAAGACACGTGGCGTCAAACTGCAAAATATTCTACTGTACAAATTTTCGAGTGTTCGACTAACTTTTATTACCGAGGAAGATTTCGAGGATGCTTCGGATTTTTCCTTCCATGAATACCGTTCGTCTAAGATTCAACTGATTCGAATAATAAGATTCATCTTAAAGCTAAATAAGTCAGGAATCTATTGATATACAAGATGCCCCACTTAATTCGAGCATCTAAATTATTTCCTGGCGTTGAATGTGAGAAATGACTAAAAGAAATTTCTATTAGCAGACTTCGAGGAGCGCATCGAGCGACGATAAGGAAAGATTCTCAACGAACATTCGGAATGTTACGTCAACGTCTCTTCTCTTTTAATACGTGTTTCTTTACAATGCGAGGTTCCATCGCTAGAAGCGAACCATATACAAGTGTAGAATATCTATAACTCATAACAGCACCATGGGGGATGCAATGCGAAGGAACGACCTTTCAACGTGACCTGACACTTCAACGAGACCAAGTTTCCGAACTTCTCTATTTCCTAATAACCTTCCACCTTTGCGAGACGTTTACTTCAAATTGCCTGGAATAACTAGTATCGAATTTTCGTGATAAACGTAACAAACATGACAAGCACGCTAAGCCAAACCGCCATGGTGATCCGTGACTCAACGATCCTAATCTCGATCAGTTTCATCCTTCCAACCGAATCTCAAGTGCGTCGAAGACAACAACCAGCCCGAGGTAGGCCGGACTACCCTCGACCTTAAGATTTTCAAAAATCCATGGTTACTTGGACGCGAACCACCCAGAGCAACACGACCCGTGGGTCCACGACGGAACACGACAACCGTTTTAACGAAACTCGCGTAGGTTCGCGGGGAAGCGGTATTATGTGGCTCCGTTAAAAATACGAAGCCAAGGCAGCAACGAGCAGAGGCGTATCGAGCGGGCGAAAGAAACAAAGAAAATACGAAACACGGTGTGCATGTCGTCGTCGCCGGTAATATCCAGCCGTCTAGACACTAGACTCTTTGTTCGTTCAGGGGCTGATTTTCGGGGGTTGTTCCTGGTCGAGCGTAGGGTAAACCGTGCCCGTGCCCGTGGACGGAGGAATGCACGAGTCTACGGGAAAGAGAGCAAAGAGAAAGACAGGCAGGAAGAGAACGAGAGGGAAAGGGAGG